TCTCCCCCTCTCTCTCCCTCTCCCTCTAAGCCCGGAAGCGTCCAGCAGCCTGATCTTTCTCCCTCCCACCCTCCGCCCCCTCCCGCTCTCATATTTCCGCCTGATCAGGCGGGGGACTTGCCGCCCCGGGGGGACACTCCACAGCGGGCGGGCGCCTGGAGGGTAGGCCGTCGGCGCGCTCGGCTGCACGACGCCGAGGCGGCTGCCTACCCCACGCGGCGCTCCCGCCAGGCGCTGCAGCGGCGCCGCCCCAACCTCACCGCGCTAGAGATAGGCGGGACGGGACGTGCTGCATGGTATGGTGGACGCTGATCGCTCGACTGGAAAAACCGCGTGCAATTCGCGCAAACGGCAAGCGTCAATTGCAACAACAATCGCCCTGCGGGTGCGGGTGCGGTATCGAGATGCAAGCCATGCACACACACATACACACACACACACACACACACACATACACACACACACACACACACAAATACACATCAATCGAATCGAATCGACGAAATGAAATGAATGAAATGGTTCTCCCTGTGGCCCTGCTGAGGCCGGGGCGGGGTGGCGTGGCGCGCTGCCGCACTCTACAGTCACACTGCCCCGTGGTCGTTGGTCGTGTCGGCCCCATTCTCCTTGCCCCGACGCACCGCCACCGTATGAACCGCGCTGCTCGGCTCGGCTCCACCAAAGTAGTGTCTCGGCCGTTATGGAATTCGCTCGCGTCCGTCGTTTCAGGGTTATGCTGGAAATTCCTCTACCCTACCGACAGGGAAAAGAGGGGAGCTCTGGAATTGTTCGGGTCCATTTTCAGAGAAAAGTGCCAAGCAGGAGTGTAAAATGCTAGAGGGACGAATGAAAGGAGAAAAGGTACGGGGAGGGAAGAGGGGCGGGTTGTGAGGGCACCACAAACGACTGGCTAGGAAGGTTGGGATTTGCGAGTTGCAAAAGCTTTGTTGCGGCAAGGGAAACGGGAATATACTCTCGAGCTGTACGGTTTGCAAAACGAAACGAAGAAAAAAAACATAAAGCGAGCAGAGAAAAAACGGAATAGACTGTGTGGGCGACAGAGAAACAGGACGGCATGGGCAG